GTCCTAAAATTGAACCCTGCGGTACCCCACTATAAACGGAGGCCCACTGTGACATTGTGCCTCTAATAACTACTCGTTTATATGTATTATTCCTGAGCTTCGTCATATCGTCTGTCTGTATACTTGTATATGGTGGAGATAACAATAAAATTTACTTTGACTTTGACTTCAGTTCATTTTTACAGCATATGCCATTTAAAAAGGTCCAACAAGTTCATCACTGATAACTGCAGCCCACACCATCACTCCTCCACCACCTTGTTGGTGCTTGAAGAAGGTGTCCAACCCTTGGGCATCCATCTACTCCATTAAGAGTCACGCTCATCTCATCTGTCCATAAGACCTTTGTAAAATCAGTCTTGAGATGTGTCAGTGCGCATCATTAATGTATTACCTTGTGGGCCTTATTGAGTGGATATATTTTATATGTTAAAAAAGAAACTAATAATTACATTTTTAAACATTATTTCTCTAACTCAATCCCAACTTTAATGCACAAGTAAAGTAAGAGTCAGGAAGAAGAAACATGTGTTAAGCTTACAAAAACACAGTGGGCTGGTTTTCATGTAAAGTTTATATAACAAGTTTATATAAACAAGACCTTGTTGGTCATAGTCTTTCTTATGATGGTGGGTTAATCAAACACAGTAGCTGGCTGCCCCAGACATAAGCCACCCATTATTTACAGTACCTGGGTGCCACCTATATGGCCTTGGAATCTGGGAAGAGGTGGAGTTACAATGATCTAACACTCTATGGTGTCAACTGAACACTATAAGAGCTAATAAAATGTAACATTATAATACAATACTCATTGCACTCCGTAAAGTGTTAAATGTAACATTGATTTGGTGAGAATTATATAAACACCATGCAGTGTTAATTTAACACTGGCAAATTTGCTGTGTAATAATTCTGCATGCAGCAAAATACATCTTATTCTGTATCAACAGCTGAAAAAAAATACATATAGATATTTTTATTTCTGCTGATTACATATTTACTTTGAAAATGGCAGGTATCCAATATCCTTAAGGAAGTCCTTTATTGTTTTCTCTTTTTTGGAGATTTCCTCCACAAGTTTCTTTTGTACAGGGAAACCAAGAAGGGTGTTGGTTTGGTCAAATAGATGGACCACCTCAAAAAGGTATGGCCAGTCCTCTAGTAAAATGTTCACACAGCTTCCTTGATTGATTGTAGAGTGCTGGATGGCATATGTTTCTTTCATCAGTTTCTTGACACACTTCTCTGGTTGTTGTTCTTGAAAGCATTTTTCAGCTCAGCTTTTTTGTCTTCATGTTCATCCAAACTGCCTTCTAATACAGGCTGCCACTCAACACACCCATAGCAGTCAGAATACCTGCTTTCCTTTCCTCCTTGTCCACCTTCAGCATCTGCAGGCCTCTTTGTTGGCTTGTGGGTTAAAGGCCTCCGCACATTCTCCACTCTGTTTTCCAGTTGTGCAAAGATCCAGTTCCAATTATTTTTGTTTCACCTAATGCCTGGTCTTGAAACGAGCAGGGGTATTTCTCAACAATTTCTTTTGCAATTATCTACAGCTTTGTTCTTCCAGGTCTGGCATTCTCTTTACTTAGAAGATCATCAATAACTATTTGCACCATTTGTTTTTTTTCTGCTGGACTTGGTCTTTCTTCCACCTTCCAACTCCACATATCTGCCCCATTGTAATATGCGCACAAGAAGTCATGAGGTTCAGAAGAGCCATCCTAGATTTACCCACCATCATGAGAAAGACTCTGACCAAAAAGAACCTTATAGCTTTTTCTTGTTTTTTCTTAAAGCTTTGCTGACTCAATTCTGACTGATTCTAAAGATTAGAGTGTTTTTGGTTTTGGTGGGTTTTTTTTTTCTCATATGTGGTTTTATAGCATGTTGC